TGACTCATTTTATGTGATGGAAATAACTTTCCTATAGGGTGTTTGGGAGCATGCAATAAAGATCCCTTGAGCTATCCAGATGTTAGAATATCAGAGAAATTCACTCATTTCTTCACAAAGTCAGATACATGGATTTTTTATGCAGAACTCTGTAGTAGTAGGGCAGACAGATTTTCCTTAAATAAGCCAACCAATTTAATCATACTGCATTCCTAAATAGCCACAACCTTTCAGCAGCAGTGCTAACAAGTGCAGCAAGACATATTTTGATCCTCTGGATGTCTGTCCATGACTCATTTTCCTTTTCAGGGACATTTGAGTGGACTGGAGAAATGTACCATGAAGAAAGAACTGGAGCTCAGATCTAACTCAGTGCCTACCAAAACAATGTCACTTCCACCTGTCAGATAGAGGCAGATTTATGCTCTTATCAAATTATGTATGAGATAAAATCTAGTGTCACAGTACTGATTCCATTAGGGCACTCTTTAACACACAGAGCCCAGACTTTGACTTTGATTCACCAGAGGCAGGTGCTTGATTAATTTCCATAGGTCTACTCCTATGTTTGATGATAACGGTGAGCTTTAAATAGATTGCTGAATCAGGTCCATTTAGGGATACCCAATGCATCTCAGGTGAAAGCTGTACTGCAACAGACGCCAGCTCTGCTGGAAAATACCCAACATAGGAATGGACTCTGCAGGGTGTATTACATACAAATAAACACGTGGATTTTGGGAAGCATAGTATCAGGAAGAGGTGGCCACAAAAAAAAAAAGGGAATCCCCCCCCTAAGACAAGGCAAAGCAAAAGAAAGTTCTTTGACTGTGCTCTCAACTATCATATTAGCTCAGACTAGGGTTTACATTCACATTATTTACTAACAGGTGGCATTTATTAGAAAATTACAATGCAACAGTGGGCAGAAAACAGGAAAGCAGTCGTTCCTCTTTGGAAGTGGGTTTCTCTATCTTCTTTTAATTGTTTTTGTTGCTGTAACTAATTTATACATTTATTTTTACAAAGTAAGCCCAGTTAGTGAGAATTATTTTATGCTCCCTTGCTACTATACCAACAAAATGAAATCCAAGTTCCTGCATGATGTGACATGTAAACCATTTGTGCTGAAGTGACTGCCAGAAATGGATGGAAAGTTTTTATCCTGAAGAAGCACTCAAATAAAGTGCTAGCGTAATATAAAATTATTCACTGACAGTAACTGCAGGATTTTTTGTGTCTTCTCTTTTTAAGCGTCAGTTTAGCTGAGTCTAATACTCAACAACTTAGAGCATCAGCAGAGAAAGTAATGTGTTTTCCCTTGCAATGTTCAGTAAATCTGAAAACAAGTGTTTCTTTTTAAAAGGAAGACATAAAACAATTTTGTTTGCATTTCATGGGAGAAAAAACCCATCAGTACTGCTGGCATCTAAGGTAAAGCACATTTTCAGAGAAAGTATTATGAATGTGTTACAAATGCTGACATTTTGCCGGCTTCACTCAGATCCTGATGCAGGTCAAGTTTAAAAGCTGGACAGCCTCAGCTCCACCTAGATGCTGTGATCACAACTGCGTGTGCTTATCTCACACCATTCTTGTGTGCCATGATTCAGCTTCATTTCCTTTCTTTAAGGCAGTTAAAAGTCAACAAAAATAGATAAAGGGCTTATTTCTTTTTCATAGTATAACTTCAGATTTTGCAGATAGCCACCTTCTCCTTTGCTCAGAGAAAGTTAGAACTGAGTGTCCATTTTTCTGCACCAGGGGAAAATGAGACAGTTCATTAGCTTTTGTTGTCAAACTCTAAAATTACACAGTCACATCAATCCACCTCCTCCGTCTTATGGAGCTTCTCTGTTATCACAAAGCCTATTCAAAATTTCCCCAAGGGCCAAGACCAACGCTTGAAAAAGCATCTAACTTTGTACAAAACCAAAAGTGCGCCCTATTACCCACCATCTGAGACACCCCCATCCAACCTCGTTCTTTCTAGTGCTGTTATTTCAGACCTTTATCAGTTCTGAGCCTGACCACAGCTGAAAGTAGTAATCTCCACCCTGCTCCCCCCCAAGCCTGCGTAACATTAGTTTGAATCTTTTATTCATTCACTGACAGAAATATCAAGAGGTTTCTTTAAACGACAGCAATAAGCCCGGATGACCGATCTGCCAAGAAGGATTCTTTAGCATTGTGGAAATAACTGGCTACCAGAAACTGTTTTGAAGTTACCATTTGCAGCACCCAGAGTACTTGGGTTGGATCAGTTTTTACTGGATTACTTTCCTGGCAAGTTCTTTTTGTCACATCTGAAGAGTTTCTTTGTGAGCAATGAATGAGGATGCATCTTGGGAATGATCTGATACTTCAAAAGATTATTCTTGTAGTTTATCTTGCAGTAAGCTCTTCTGAAGGAAATGTTGCAGAGCCCTGTATTGATCACAATGATAGCGCATTCAATGTGCCTTTTAGCACTGGGTTGTCTGCACTATCACTTTTCAATATAACTCTGAAGCAAATCCTTGCAAGCTAGGACTTTTATTAATTGATATATATGTAGATATATGCTGTCTTTCATAAAGAGATGTTTTTTCTGCAAACACTTCAAAACAAAGCTGGGCCTGCTGAAGTCAATGAAAGTTTACTCATTGCCTGGCGAAGAAGTATTTTGGGAACGGTAAAGTCAAGAATATCTTTATGTTTAAAAAACAGAAGTGTTTTTTTTAACGTTTTGTTTCCTGTGCTGAGTTTTAATGGAGGGGAAAAAAAGAATTTGCACGCCAAACCAGCTAGCCAAAGCTAAAATTTACCTTCAGAAAAGTAAAACTGATGGCCTGTGTCAGCTAATACACATTTAGTAAGTTTCTAACCAGCACTCAGTCTGTAGGAGCAATGAAGACTGACATTTAAAACCATACTATATTATCACATTGTAAGCAACACTCCCCTGTAGGTTTCTATATACCCAGACAAAAGTTGATTTTGTTATACACTAAGTGTTTTAAAACCAATAAATTTTTAACTTAAAAATGCCGTGGTCATAGCTGTTTCTTTTTTAATAAGAAAACAATGATACACTAAGTTCTAGGTGTGAAAGTCATTATTCATGCCTATGCCCATATACTTTATTTGTCATTGAATAGTTCAATTATTTTAATACTCTTTAGCATAGCTGCAATGAGAATTGAATGCTTGTGCGAACACAATAGAAACTTGCATGTGGACAAACCCATAGTCTGAACAACTCTTGTTCACTGTAGTGCTAAGGGTACTAGATAATGGGTTTTGAAACATGAGTTCTAGCATGCAAGTACTACATACTTGGGCGTATGTACTTCCTTTGCATAGCAATTCTGGCAATGTTCTCTTATAAGCAGGTCTTGGTATGTTTTTGCTTCAGTAGATGCACTCTATTTCTGTGTCTTTTGACCTTCCTTCCTATGCCGGGTACATGATCATGGACAAATTCCCGGTCAGTTCTGTGATTATTTTTTCCTCATTTTATGCAAAACTTTTAAAAAACGCCTTGCTGGAAGCCTTACAACACCCTGCAATTTTAGCTTAAAGAATTTTATGGATCAATAGAAATACTCATTGAAGCTGTTACTGACTCATAACTGGGAAATGAAAAATTACAGCAATTCAGCAATTTAGGAACAACCTTCCTCTCCTTTTCTTCAAAGCTCTGTTTTGACTTACAACATGATCAATCGTCACTGACCTCAGCAGAGAGATTCTTTCCGCTTTGGATTAGGCTACATCCTACAGGCAATGAAAAAAACCAGTCGCAAAACACAAGTTTACATATGCTTTATGCGACGATGATACCTTCCTATGTTCAGCAAGATGATGATATAATTTTCTGTTGCTTCCTGCCTTCATTCACACTGAAGCCGGAACCCAGGATGTCATAGTTACATCACACAACGATGGGAAGACCCTTACAGTAACTAATAATAACAATGGATTGCTTTTTATCAATGTAAGCCAGGCTAATTTCTACAATACAATGTAAAATGCAAAGTGGACTCCTTTCAGTTTCTTTTCTCAGCAGTTCTCTCTTTCCTGTCTTTAGCGTAAGTGATACTTCATGGCAGTTGTGATATACTCAGAATAGAAAATGGAAATAAAAAATTCATGAGCAGGCAACAAAACCAAATGACACTCAACATACATGCAGCACGGTTACTCTTCAATACACTTCAGAGATGCTGTGCCCAGCTAACAGCAGCTGATTCTGGGGGCAGGGCCAGCAAGTGTGGAAACAGGGTCAAAAAGTGAGGAGCTGGCAGGGCTTCTCTACCAGCATCAATGCAGGAGAGGACCAGAACTTCTGGGAGGGAGCTCATGTCTGAGCTGAGGACAACCAGGAGAGCTGCTGGGAGACGGGCAACAATAGCAGAGGGCCTAGAGATACTGGAGGTGCCCTTTAACAGCTGGCTTGGGAAATAGCTGTGATTTTGGCTGCCAGGCCCACTTGAGCTGCCTCCAGTTCAGCCCCATGTGGAATCATTCAGTAACATATGGGAGGAAGCATTGAACCCATATTCACAGAGACGGAAAATCAGAGGCATGACAGTGTGGCATTTTCACAAGTATCTGTGTATTTTTTCAGGCAAGATACCTGAGGATCAGCAAGAGTTTTATCTTAAAATAGGTACTTCAGAAACTTTCACCCTACCTGTCTGGCTTAAAGTGCAAAAGAAGTCAGTATCACAACAGAAGCTAGACTGACAGAGTTTCAGAAAACTAGCACATACCTATCCTTCCGTAATCAGTCATGATTTAATTCAGAACCAGTAATCAGTAATTGATTACTTCTACAAAGTAACCACAACAACTTCAAACCTGGCTGGAAAGCACTTGTTTTCAGAGACACAAGTAACTTCAATTACAGAGATGGTTTTAGGAGCAGCGTTGTAATATGGGATAAAAAGCCAGGAACACAGAGAGTAAAGCACATTGCTGCATTAAAAGCAAAATAAAAAACTTCAGAAACTTACCACTGAGGTGAGAGCCATCTGAAAACTGTAGATTCGTGCAAGGCCAAAGTCAGCTAACTTTATCTGTCCGCTGCTAGTTACAAGGATATTTTGGGGTTTCAGGTCCCGATGCACCACACGATGCGAGTGCAGAAAATCGAGTCCCCGAAACAGCTGAAGCATCATATCCTAAATATTAAGAAGAAATCAATATGCAATTAACAAGACAAGGTGGCAAACAAGTAAACTCTCGGTCATAATCTGCAAAACTAATTTAATAAATATTGACTTAAATATGTGCACATGAGATAAAAACAATGGTTAATATAAAATGAACAGGATGTTGCTAGAGCCAGCTGACTTGAACACGTGTCCTTATCAAGTTAATGTATTGTTTCTAGTTGAATTACTTGAGCTTGATTGATAGAATTATAAAGACTAGTCAACATACTTAAAAGAAATAGCAAAATCAGGTCCTGTAAATCCCAGGACAACTTCAAAAGAATGCTGTCCAAGTAAGAAAAATACATAGCAACTTTTTGCTTTTAACTTTAAACCACACACCATTTTGCATCTCACAAGTTCATGCTTTGTCCCGCCCCAGTGAAGTGCAATTTTATCACTGAGTTCAACAGGCACAGGGATCTGTTTCAATCAGAAAAGCTGTTTAAATTACAAATTTGCCAGGATTTAGTGTTATAGAGTGGAAAAAGTTTACTTGGCAAAACCAGTTGTATAGAATTTACTGAATAGGACAGAAACTACCTTTAGATCAAAGTTTAGTACTAAATCAGTGTAATAAACATAAGTAATAGTTCTCATTTTGCTTTCTGTTTTGTTATAGTGATGCAATCTTCTATGACATTTCCACAGCTGAAGAAACTATTTCATCTGTACTCATGTTTTCACATTAATCTTAGTAACATGAAAGGAATGAACTAACAGACTCGAAACTAAATACTAGAAATCCCCTGAATTCCAAATTAGTAGGATACTGTTAACTTAAAAACTGTATTTGCAAAACAGGCAGTTACACGAAGATGCTGCAACAAGTAAGAAACAAAAGGGATAAAGAAAAAGTTTATTTTCTTTTCTGTATGCACTTCAGTCGAGTTCATGAAACTTTATCTCTGTGTTTGCTGGTGATATATGCCCTTTCCACAAGCCCTGCAGCAGGGTGTCCGCCAATCCTGTTACTGGCAACTAAAATGTTCTTTTGGTGAGAGAGGTGGATGGCATGAAACATGAGAAAAGGGAAGAAGGATAAATTGAAGTTGGTTGCTTTTGTTCTCTATAGACTAGGGCATGTTTCAAGTAAATACTCAAGGCACACTATTAAAAGGAATGATATCTGAAAATGGGTTTAAAATTATTCAACTTGATAATATTGCTTTAGCTGAATGTGTTTTTAAGGTACACTTCATAGACATTGCCGTATAATTTAATACAAAATTATTATTTTCATGCAACGTTCCCTGATCATCTCTACAGAAAGTATTATAAAATATATAGGTATTAAGGCTGGAAGCTCTAATCTGACTTCTGATAATACATGGCCATTTCTATATATAGCCTATAATTCTGTCTGCCAAACAGTAGTAACAGTGGGCTGCTCATAAAGTAATCATCTTTTATTTGAAGACCCTGATGATGGAAATATTACCATGGAACTATGGATGCTGTGACAGCATTTAATTATTATCACCTCTGAAGGATGGTGGTAACCTGTGAACTCCATTCCCTGTTAGCTGATACCTTTTATTCCCTTTGCTTCCCCAGGAAAAAATGGAATCTGATAATTTTGATAACTAGTATAATAGGGTTTGCACCTTTAAAACAAATATACAAAGTGTATTGAATCCTTTTGTGTTTATATAATTTCCCTTTGCAGTTCAGAAATACGTGGATGAGCTGGGACTACAGCTCTGCGGGTTTCAGTCATCTGTAGAATTGATACATGTCATATCTGCTCACTCTGTGCTATTATAACTTAAATCAAATCCCAACAATCTTTGGATCAGTCTTACAGATGTAAAGAACATGCTAAGAACATTTAAGTGTGTGGTTATCTTAAGTATGTACTTAATGATTTAAAGATTTCACTGAATTTGGGTCTCTTTTTTTTTTTTTTTTTTATTCCAGGTAGAAAATAACTTAAAGAATTTAAGGATTAGTCAGTAGACCTTGGCAAGTCCCTTTTTGGTGACATTTCTGCATCCTACTCATTTGGCAAGTATGTAAACTCATTCCTGCAGTGACCAAACGTATCAAGAGTATTCTTTTCCCACAACTGATGCTGGTTTTGTTTTGACTTTCTTCCTCAAGTTCAGTAAATGCAATTCTGCTCTGCTAGTTGCAAGTCGCAAGCAATGTCTTCAGTTTCTAAATTCAGAGTCTTCTTCCAAGCACAGGTAAAAAAAAAGAAAATATTTGAAAGTGGAAGCTGGTATATCTTTCCCTTCCCCATAGGACTCAAAAGATGAATATCATTTACTGAAGTTCTCTTCACACACAAAAAGTGAGATGTGCCACAGAAAACTGTACCAGGAAAGTGTAAATTTAAAAGGTATTAGAAAGAAGAAGGAAAACTGGGGGAAAAAAGTGCTATATTTCCTCTTTCAGGAAATTCAGAGTTAGTCCACACAGGCTATTCTCTAGTATTCATTTTGGACTGTTGATTATGCTCTTTTGCTGTCCCTTATTACTTACTATTACATATGTATTACATGTATGAACAGATTTCAGTTCAAAATTATCTTGGAAGACCATTTGTTATTTGTGATTCATTATTGTCCTGTTTTTAAATTCTCAGCAGTTACAAAAAGAGCAGAAACCAAAATCAGATGACATACATAGGCTTATTATTATGCACTTTAAATACAGAATACCAAATTGTGCAGCTCAGAATTTGTTATTTGTTTGCACAAACAGACTTTCAATATCAAAGCAAACAAAAGAGAGAGCTTTTGAACTACTTTTTTATTCATAATGAATGATTAATTTTGTGCTGTACGTAAGCCTAGTCAAAAACAATTAGGCTTCACATTTGTAAAATGACTTCATACTCTTAGCCACTTGCAAGAAACATCAGACTCAGTCTGGTCTCTGCGTTTTCTTTGATATTGTAACTAATATTAGAAGATACTCACTTTTGCTAGCCAGTTGGGTAAAGGCTGTAAACATGCACAAGCCAGATCACTAACTAATTAAATCAGGATAATTCCACTCATCTGACAGAAATGCATCCATTTTTATTAGTGATGATTACCCAGTATTATCTCAGTTACGAATATCTAGAAATAACTGCAAGAGAGTCTTCGTGTGCCTCAAGAATTAGTTTGTTCCATGTCTCCTTTTCCCTGAGAAATTTTCTGTGGTAGCTAGGCATACCATACTTTGGAATTACAGTTAAAATCATATTTCCAAAGTTAATTGAAAAATGATCAATTCTATTTGATAAACAAGAAGATTCATGCCTTAGCAGATTTGAGGAACAAGCTCTAATGAGTCATGATCAAACCTCTACTGACATCTATCAGATGTTCTTTGGATATTGGATGTTTAGAAACATAGACACAGAATAGCGCCTGTTGTTTCAGACTGGAGATTTCTGCCATGCTTCTAATATCACAAAACCTACGATGGTTGAAGATATATACATTATTCCACTGTGATTACTTTCAGATAATTATGGCTTTACAATGTTTTCCCTTTTCAGGCTGCATTTTCAATGCGGTCTATGCACAAATCTAAAATATTTATCCATAACTGAGTTGAAAACTGAGCTATTTTGGGATGCAATGAACAAATACACTTTCCTTAGAGGCAAATATGTAGCTTTAATTTTGTAAATGCCTCATAATGGAAAAAGTTAGGAGTAAAGTTTGTTATGGAAATGCTGCATCTTTTGCATGTTCCACCATACATGGTATTGGTGATGGCATTGCTCAGTTTGATATTTATTGAATTTATCAGTCCTGAATGTCAGGACCAAATTACAATGAACTTTTCAAGCAATACAATGTTCTGTCATGAGTCTCAATAAGACACAGAAATATGACCTGCATATTCTGCCTCTGGCGTCAGTGAGGATGGGGACTGGCTTGGGTTGGGCTGAGAAGCTGCTTCTGCCTCTGCCAAAGGTGGGCTTCACGGCTCACATTTCCCGTCTCAGAGGCAGTAGGAGCAGAAAGACTTGATTTCCTACAAATTTTCGTCTCCTCCTTGTCCTATCCCCTCTTGGCTTTACGCTTCATTGACCCCTCTTAACCCTCCTCCAGCTTCTGATCCATAAATTCCTTCCAAGCCATTAGTTTTCAAAATACCACTCTGATCCTTTAAAAGTCACCTGCCATCTTGACTTCCAGCTGAAATATCTGTCAATTGTCTGCAGTAGCTTACTTGTTGTTTAAGACCAGCCAGATTCTCTGGAGTACTCTGCCTGTCTACTCCAAAAGAGGATGGCATGGCTGTAAACCAAATAATTCAAGTATCTACTCAAAGAAAACAGAAAGTGTGGAGTTGCTTTGGGTGTTGGTGTCCAGCTGCTGGCAGCCGGGGCTGCAGGGGCCTCTGTCAGGGGAGACCAGACGCTGCCTCATGCCAGACACAGCCGGTTCCCGCCGGTTCCAGCCAGCTCTAACAGACCCACCGCAGGGTGCAGCTGGGCCTGTCAGCCAAGGCGGTGGTGCCTCTGTGAAAACGTATTTAAGAAAGGGCAGAAAAGGCTGGAGAGAAAGAGGAAGAGTGAACAAAAGGAGCGAGAAACAGCACAGGGAACAGCAAGGTGAGAGGAGAAAGAGGAAAAGGAGAAAGAGGAGGTACGCCATGGTGGAACACATATCCACACTGCAGCCCGTGGAGCACCCGCATTGGAGCAGGTGTATTTTCTTGAGGGAACCGCAGCCTGTGAAGAGGACCTACGCTGAAGCAGGCAAAAAGTGTGAGGAGGAAGGAGCCACAGAGAGGGGCTGCCATGGACTGACCACAACCCCTCACACCCCACGCCCCTGTACTGCTCAGGGTGGGGAGAGTCAGGAGAGATGTGGAACCTGGAAAAAGGCAGGAGAAGGTGTTCTTTGAATGTTTGCCTTTTTTTTTTCCCCCCAGTACCTGAATTAGCACTTAAATTTCTATCTTAATTTGCATTAAACTAAGTTCATTTTCCCCAAGGAATGTCGATTTTGCCC